TAGTGATGGTGTTTGTATTGTATGGGAACAAGGTTCAGTTGACCCAGAGCCGTCAGGAGTCTTTATTCAATGGGACCTGTATATTTTTTGTTGTTTTTGTTGCAGCGTACACCCCCACCCGCTTGATAGGAGGGATAGGTATTACTTGAGGTAGAGTGCAAGAAAGATGGGTGAGAGGGCCTGCGGATAGAAAGGAGTCGTAGAATTGCACTTGAGTTTGTTTGGGTTTGGTCAGGGTTTGTTCTAGCCAAGTTTTCTCGACTTTTGGTTCCCACCCTCCACACTTTTACAAGAAGCAAGTTCAAGCTGTGAAAAATAGATTTCACGTATTAAACCTTCAGATTGGGTAGCCTTTCGGTATCCGCCTACAGCTTAAAGGAACAGCCCGGTAAAATAGTAGCTCGTAATAGACTCAAAGTTAACTCATATACAATTCGAATGGTTCTCATAAAAGTTTAGTTTATAGGGGTATATATTAGAATGGACGAGTCCATATGTACCTTCGATTTCGGAAGACGAGAAGAAACCGAGTGCAGACCACACACCATAAGAGACGACGGCCAAGAAAAAGCCGCTTTTCTTTTGGCCGTCGTCTCTTATGATGTGTGGTCTGCACTCGATTTTCTTCTCGTCTTCCGAAATAGTCTATGTATATTTGACCAGAAAAAAGCTACAAACGAAGAATCACAAAATGCCATGGAACAATGAGGCATAGGGATTGTTGCGAGGAAATCTATTCCATAGAATCCGGTTCCGCAATCCGTTCCAAGCATTTCCTTCATGTATGCGCTCTTCTGTGAAGAGCACAGCATACATGCTGATGTCTAGTTTGTTTAAACGTTCCTGCTGAACTTCGATCCAATCAAATCACACGTTAGCTATGATATATTTACTTGCAGGGCGTTATTCGAGCAAATAAGTCTTTGCGACGAATTGAACCTCTTTTGCGGCCAAAATAGAGGGAATGCTTTGTAGTTATAAAAAACGCTACTTCACCATCCAACTGACTCGCGCAGATTTCTCGTAGAGCTTTCAGAACAAGGCAGTGCTCTGAAAACTTTACGAGAAACGGGTCTGAAGTTAATTTCGAATATTCGCGTTACAAAATCTTTTGGGAAGTGAGGGGCAGGTTTGGCTGAAAGTTCTCCATGACCACTACAAGCTCATAGTTCTTGACTGGCAGCGCCCACAAAGGTCTGCTCTAGGTGATCAGTTAGAATTACCCAACTGTTGATTTTTTTAAAAATCCCCTGATTTTGTATGATATTCTGTGAAGTGGGCTTTGAGCCGATCGCAAGTTTGTGCCTGTCATCGCCAAAGATCGGTTCTGTCATTTTTGTTTACGAGCCAAGGCCAAGCGCCAAACACCATGTTGGTCTTTCCGAATAAAGGAACTCTTCATTAAATATCGTTTGAGGGAACTCATCCGGCTTAGATGAAGCATGTTCGCGAATTCGGTTGAGGCTTTTGCTCTTTCTTACAGTTCTGTAGCTCTCAGAAGAGGCACTTGAAAGCAGTGTAATGCCCATGGGGATGACAGCGCCTATCATGAACTGATTGAGCAGCTCAAAGAGTTCTGGTCCCGTCTAGTTATTCCTGAGAAAACTTACTCAGTGGGCTAGTATTCAACTGCGAAATCGAGAATTCACCCAGGCCCCCAGTTTTTTGTTGTCTTTGTTTACATTTGCACCTCACGTGTGTTCCATACATAAAAGATGTACATGGATGTGAACGAACGATTATTTAACACGAATCGATTGGGCTCTTGAAAAGCTGTCAATTCGATGTGCTTAAAAACAGCATTTATGCGATGTACAGTGTGGTGTCAGCTCCCATCTGTTCATGCTTGACACTTTCTGTCAGTAGCGCGTGCTGTCCGTCGTTTCCACTTCGAAGATGTTGAGCATTTACCGGCGACGACGTTGATTACGTGATATTTTGGGTTCGCACGGTGCCTAATTCGTTTGTGTTGATAGGTGTGAATTTCAGTGCAAACGGTGTCACTTCGAATTAGAACTTTCGCGCTGAATGATAGCGGTGAGGCGTCGTCTCGGTGCACTGCTGAACACACTTCAAAAACAGTGGCCAGGTTGTACGGGGTGCTGTGTTGGTGTTTGGTGAGAGCGTACGGTAGTTTCACTTTCGTTTTCGCCTCGTCGATTACAGTAGCCCCGCTCGATCATCGGACTCCTTTGCAGGCTGTCGCTCTCTTCGGCACCACTCCGAGCCTGCTTCGTTCACAGCTCTCGCCTTTAGCACTCATACTTTAGAGAGTGCATGTGACTGACCACTCGAGTGCAGTTTTTCGTCAACCCAGTTACTATCGTTGCAGCTTGAGAAGGACGACCGCCTCCTGGCATGGTGCCACACCCGCTTTTTTGGGGAAGTTATGAAGGTTGTACTCGCCGGTGCTTTGCGTCACGGTCATCGGCGGCGTCCGCGTTATTCCTGCACGGCAAACGATCTCGTCAGAATTTATGACGCATTCATGAAAATGCATGCGAGTCGGCTCGTTTGAGGAATTTTTGACGTACGCCCTGGGAATACGCATCAATTCTCAAATGCTCTAATTTTGACGTATCGGAAGATTTTTGCCCGTGCGACGTCCTCATTCGTACACTTTTGCCAAATTTTCCCATCACTCTATCTTTGAAGACCTGTTCTTTCGATGTCTCTCGTGTGGCAATCGTGCTTTGTTAGAGTCCATTTGGTCTCAGAATTCTCTCGCAGACAGAGTGGTTCATTCGGGTCGAGCTGATTGTGTTTCCAGCGGGGTTGTTCAATAAAAACTCTCTGCAGAGCGGATGTTGCACGCCAACTGCAGGGTCGATATCTCCCACTTTCAGTTGAGACATGTTTGTCATTCCTTCTGATGACCTTGCCGTCGTCTGTCCTACGGTTTGTTTCTATTTAATAGCAAGCAATTCTCGCGTTCTCTCCTCAAAGGAAGCGCCAGCGATTTAAACTACATGTTTTCATTACCGACCTGGCCTTGCTTTCAAGGACCACTTCTTCCACCTTTTACGTTTGGTATTGCAGCTTTTGTCTGGTTTACCTATGCTCTTCTCATTCAAGGCACAAGATTTGTATAGCAATTCTAGATGTTCAGTTTCAAAAAGCTCTTTTAGGCTCAGCCGGCTATGAAAAGCTGAAGTGTGAAATTGTCGATTGTTCCTAGCTGTTTCGCCTATCTTCTTTCTCTTCTTAACCTTCCTATCTTTTTCTTTTTCTCTTCACTTCTGACTCCTGCGCTAGGCTCGATCACCGAATCTCCTATGTCTGGGAGTTTTGGAAGGATAGGTACCTCTTCATAGCATTTAGTATGCAACTTTATGTCGCTGCATTGTACCGTGGTTCCAGAAAACTTCAAGTGTCTCTTATTCATTTTATGAACTTCCTGAGAAAAATCCTTCAGGGCTCTAAGTGAATTGGAAGAGTAAATTTAGGTTGCATTATAATAGTTTTTGATGGAGAGCTGCGGTCAAAAACATCGCCTAATTAGAAAAAAATCTTCAAATCGTTGATCTGCTAGAGCTCTCGTGAGAGGGGGGGGGGTCTTTTAGGCCATGGAGAGCTTTTTTCGAAATGATTTCTGAATGTTGTAGGGGCTTTTGTTATGGATACAGAACCATGGTCCATTTTCCCTGAACGTCCCCAGGAGGTTCACAAGAATGCTGGGGTTGTGAACAAAACGTTAGCCTGAGGCGGAACCTCGCTACACTACATTCGCAAGGCGAACTGCAGCCAAAGCAGCAGTTAACTAACAAAAGCAAGCTTCCAGGCGTGTCAAAACAGCGGGGAGAAATGGCCCAAAGTTCGATCCTCCGTGATGACAAATTTTTGCAATTTATGTTGGCGCCTCCAAATTGCCGCAAAACACGACAATGACATCTATTCTCGACGATGGCGCCATTTGGCGGCAATCTGGGGCGCCAAACTATATTGCAAAAATTAGTCATCACCGGGGATCGAACTCTGGACCATTTCTTCACCACTGTTTTGACATTCCTGGAGGCGTTCAGGAAAAATGGATCATGGTTCTGTGTTCCTCGCATGAGCCCCTACAACATGCAGAAAACCATTTTGAAAAAGCGCTCCCCATGTCCCGAAGGCCCTTCTTTGTCAGGTTCGTAGTTCACTGCCAATGGTAATCAACCGGGTCATAAGGTTGCAGGTGTGAGTACTGGATCGCGTTGGCACGTGAAAAAGCTGGGTCGTGGTGCCTTAGTGGGGTGAACAGTAGGGCAGCTGCTCGGAAAATAAGAGGTTCTGTTCCTGTCCATAACAGCATTTCGAACATAATCTAGGATTGTGATAAAATTCAGAGGGTATCTTTGCACCGTACCATCTTGAAAGCTATGCGTATTCCATTCACCAGTCACTCCACTATCTGTATATCACTTGGCTTATCTCGTACATGGCAGGTGAACTGGTCGTTCAGAGTAATTGCGAAGCACGTGCCATCTTGCAGAGCTACAAGTCTGCTACGCGGCTGCTCGTCTTTCGGCAGGCGATATCTGCGTGCACATGTGTGGCAGGTCGTCGCAGACGCCGATGTTGCTCGCATTCCTGCATGCTTACCTCGACTAACACGAGTTGTGTACGTGAACGTTGCCAGGTTTTCTATTTGGATTGGGGCCCTTTATCACTCATTTCCTGTGTAACAGCTGATGTTGCACGAACCTTCTCGATATCAGTTGCTTTCCTCACAACTGCTTTGACAGCTTAGACGATGATGTCATTCGCTTCGTCTCCTCACAGTATGCTTTGAAGTATGAAAAGTACACGTTTTCCGTGCAATGCCCTTCTCATCATTTCGTCGACTTTTTTGATTCCGATGGCTTCGCTCTTGTTTATGAGATATAACGTCATTATTTCTCCGCCCCGTACATCTCGAAAGAGAGTAGACTGATTTCAGACCGTTGGCGAGTTGCCTCTGTGCAGCCCCTGTCGTGAAGAGACTGAGCTCAAAAGCACAACTCTCTTACTGAACGACGTCGATGGAAACATCTTCGGTTGCAACTGCCGATGCTCACCAGTATGAACCACCCTACGCTGCACCAGTAGATTCGCAGCGGAAGAAGTTGGAGCTCAAACTGAACACAGGCAATGAAAAGCTATGCTCGGTAAGTCCAATTCAGTGCTTAGGCGCTTTCTCCTTACGGCCATCATAAACGGGGTACTACCGACCGCACCATCTCATCAACTTTGATGAGATCGGTGTATAGGGTAATTAAGGACCAGGCCATGTCTTCCCTTGATCCAGTTCTAGTTAATTAAGAACGAAAGAAATCCCGAACACCTCACCACGGAAGCTCTTGAGATTACCAGTTATGCTGTCTCCAGCGAGCACCAATAGCAAGTGGGGGTCTCCCTTCAACTACCATTTCACCTTCCTCGGAGCTCAAAATGCCACATCTGCCATTCCCTTGCCCTTAGGGTAACACAGCACTTCTCATCCCCGTTAATAGATGATTTCCAAGCCTCGCCAAACTGTAGCGTTATGGCAATAGATTTCCTTCATTTTATCCAGTGCCATTGATTCAATTCATTACAATTGGAGGATGAGATTGTCTAAATGGTGTTCTTGCAGTACGATCCACCATCACCGTGCTACAGTAACCCAACAGACAGTGAGCCGCCGTCGCCGGACTCGGGTTTCTCATCCGACGAGAATGTGTCGCCTCTCTCACGCAGGTACTGTGCTTTTGATCCTTCCTAAAACTGCTGAGAACGAACAACTAATTTAAGCAGCAATCAAATTCAACTTGACATCCTGGTGCATTTCGTAGAAACTCCGGAGATTTGACCTTTTACCTTTGAGAACCGGAGCAGCGCATTCGGCGTGGGAGCGTATCACTGACTTAATGGTAGCCGTCAGCAACGGATGCATAAATCTTCCTTGAATATCGTTCTTGAACGTTCCAGATCATCGCCTTTGGGATAATTTACCAGTTCTGGGAACAATGAGTGGGATCTATGGCTGCTCGGTGGATAGACCTTTTATATAGACGACCTTTTCGTTCAGAGCACGTGCTCTGCGGAAATGAAACGCGAGTAGTTTGATCAGTTGAATAAGCGGTGACCATGAACTGAGGCGACGACGCTCACTCTGGTCTATTCACGTCGTGGCGCTGTCGCCAGATCGCGCATGCGTGAGAAGGATCCAGTTCTTGTGTGCTGGAAATTGATGATTATTAATTGTTTGTTTACCACGCTACTACTCAGTGCGTACTCGGGCCATTTATCTCCCCCTCTCCGCAGACGTATTTGTTTTGAAGAAGTGCTAATTCCCTGGTCGAGTTACGCATTAGTAGTTTTCATGGGTGACGTTGGTCAACACATACGAGACGAGAGCGCACCAGGGTTACAAATGACCCAGACATAAGTCTGAGACGTGCGGAACATTTCCCATCTCAAGAATGGATCCTCTTGTGAAAGTGTTCAGAAACCCCAATTTTTGATTCAAAAACAATCCGTTTGCGATTTTTTTCGAGACCAAAGTATCGTAGGGTGTACTGCCGGGCTTTACCGTAGTCCGCTGTCATCTTTCATGTTTAGTGTTTGTAGCGGTGGAAGAAATCAGTTTTTGCAAGCATTCAAGAAGGACTTATCATCTCAGCCACAGCTTATAAAAAGATGTTTTGCTCATGTAAAGGGCATGATATTCCGTGAAAAATAGAACGATTACTGTCGAGCACAAAGTTAGTTCGTCACTTGTTGCTCAGAATATGTTTCGATGAGGAATTCAGTACATCCTCATGCAAATCGTAAACAAGAGTACATTTTCAAGATCGGAAACGGCATGTGGGCAGCATGGCTAAAGATTTTTTGCAGCTGATAGGTTACCTGGGAAAGAAGAAAATTGCAGATCCGGAACTGATGACTAAGTACGGTCACCAGTATCGAGTCCCAAATCGCCGGGTCACATTGAGCAGCGCGAAATTCAGGACATACTGACACATGCCGATTAGTTCGTTAGAGGATAAAATTACGTTGCTCGATGCTTGAAGACCCAGAAAGGGTCTAGGGCTGTAAATTCAGTCCTTGAGTGCCTAATTTTGTTGCTGTCGTCTGCACCATCTCGTTTAATCAGTGCCTCATGACCATTGTAATCTAACGCACTAAGCTTTTGCTACACTGCTCACTCACCACGAAGCCCTTTCCTCCTCCAAAGTTAATCCGGGAGACGTTCAGTTCTCCTTCAGAGTTCAGGTCACCAGAGCTGCGCGATCATTAAAGCTATTGTTAAGCTTGGGTTTAGGCTTAGGCTTAGGCTTATGCTTACACAATGGCTTATGCTCAAGCCTATGCTTGAGCCTAGGCATAGTCCCAAGCTTGCTTCTAGCAAGTGAGGCCTTCACCTTCTGCCTTGGGATCTGGTGCTGAGCCAGGCACCGAGTCTGCGCCTTAGCCATCCACGACAGAGAACATATGATAAGTCCACGTAGCCACGTAACCGGCCAGAAAACACAAACCTGCGTGTCGCGCGAACTGAATTTGCAAATAGGTCGCTGTCAGACTTTGCGAATCCAGCGATTCGCTAACAATGAGCGAACCGGCCATAGTAGCAAAGGCCTTAAAGGCATGCCCCAGGATCGCACTGGTGTGGCTCTTGCACACGAAT